AAAATTGCTTTCCGATCGGATTAGAATCCTCAGTCTGACATGTTTATGTGAAAAGTTCTTGACCTGATCAGGCCTTCAGTCCGATTGTGTCCATGTAAACGTAGCTATTACCAGGATACTGAGGAGGTAATTCAGCCATTTGATTCAGGCGTGTCGGACCAAGGATCTAAAAGTTGAAGACTGAAAACCCCTGATCTAAGGAAACTCGGCTGTTTGCATCGAGCCACTAACTTTTCTGGATTCAATCCTCCTGAATGAACACGTAGCAACAGGAAACATTTGCTTGCCTCGTTCTGTTGACTCGCCAGCAGAGCATGCATGCAGCGACAGTGGAGAGGAAAACTCTCTTTTTACAGGAAGAAACCTGGACAGTATGCAGCCTTCTGTTAAGAATGGATCCAGTAATCCATTTCAGATATATTTTTTAAGGCCTTTTCTGTCTAGCAGTATTCAATTCACAGGTTATCCCAAAGGGAGACATTACCAAATCATCGTTTATATCTGGAACTGAATGAGCTCTTTCTGCTCTACTTCCACAAAACATTGAAAAGGCTAATCCTAATTTGTCATTTTATAATTTTTTTTATACTTTTAGGCTTCATGGTTATAGAATGTGACATTTTTTTTGCCCTTTACTATTTAGTCTTTACACAGTGACTAAATAACCGTTGGCTTTAATGCAGCTGGGATTGTTGTACAGTTTTCATTTTCAGAGAATATAAAGAATAGTTTAAATTAGTCTCAGGTTTGAATGAAATTAGACGCTCAGGGTTAAACAGGATGGCGTTCTAAAAATGTAAGAGTACATTCCCCTCCTCCCTCCTGACACACACAGGCTTCTTAATTAAATTAAGAAATGGGGAGTATTTACGCGCTGCAATCCTTTATAGGCTGACAGCTCATTAAGAAGTGCTAACAAAAAGCAGGCCTTAATAAGCTGTGCAGGTTATCCACAGAAACAGATTAGTGGAGCCGTATGAGCTTTTTGAGACCAGAGTCTCTTAGCAAACTCATTTTAAAACATTCAGCAGCATTTTCTGTTGTAACCGAGCGATTCTGGAGATTCTGTCGAGCAGCTTAAATAGAAACAGTTGAACTCCTGCCTGTGGATATGAACTCCCTCAGTAAAAAAAACACACCGTCACCTGTGTTTAACCTCAGTGCTCTGACCACTTATCGTAGCTGCCTCAGGGTAGGAAGCGAGATGAAAGCAACTCCTTCAGCTCATTCCTGGTAAATGTGTATTTTCAAGTGTTCACACTCTCTAACTCTTGTTCTCTTGACCTTTTTCAGGCCGATGGACTGAAGGAGGGCGACTACATCGTAGCGGTGGGCGACAGAGACACCAAATGGATGGGTGTGAGTGACATGATGCGACTTCTGAAAGACGTGGACGAAGAGGGGATTGAAATCCAGGTGGTCAGCATGATCGACAACAGCCCCACTATGGTATGCCATTTATCGGGATTTACACAAATATTCATGTTAAAATCACAGATTTTAACGTGTCTTAAACTGAAAAACACAAATTAGCACATAATTGTAACTTGGAAAAAAAATTATTCATGTTTTTATTATGATTAAAGCGACAGTGTATAAGAATTACTGCCATCTAGTGGTAAAATGGGGTATTTAATTTAAACAAAAAACAAAATTATGATGTCACTGGCTCAAACATGTACTGCGCTAATTGTTGCTGCAATACGTGACAAGGCCGTTTCTCAGTATGTGTACTTGTGCGTTCTCGTGTGCTCGTGAAACGTCATTAGCCTCAGCCCTAATACTGTTCCAATTCACAAGAATTGGTATTAAAATGTCTTAAATCAGTCTTTCGTAGGTCTTAATTTTAAAAACATCGTAAATAGGATTATTTTTATTACGATTTATTTTTGTAATCTAAATAAAACGTTAAAATTGACAATTTTTTATTTATTTATTTTTTTATTAAAAAAAAATAATGGCTC